TTAGAACAAAAGGAAAGTGTACGGAGTATTTTAGAGGTGTACTTAATCGATCGCAAATGTCGTTTTGTGGATATATCTGTTTATCTCGACGTATTTTGCAGGAATTTTTAGCATGCGTTTTCTCGCTTCTGACGTCATTAAAAAGAGATGGATGATGCGATTCCCCAGGAGCCTTAAGCACACATATGTACACAACGGTAGTTTATGTTGACTAATACTTACTTTTGATAAGTACTTGCAAGGCTTGATTGTTTGGCGGACCGCTGTCCGTGTGATATGGGATAACAGTTGTCAGGTACTGCAAGATAAAAATTCTATCGTCTCTTCTTTGTTTTTAACTTGTAGAGCAATTTTCATTGGTTGATATCGCTTAAAATGTATCACGTAAACGCGCAATTCGTCACATCGGTGTTACTTTACCTTCGGCTCCTGCAAAGACCTATGCTGTGGCAACGGACTAGTACCATTCTGCATTTGATTCCTCTTCTTTGTGACGTGATGCTGCCTACGTCGGTTTTGCACAGCCAACAGTAAAGAGATAAACTGATTCTTCAGTTCCTTCTCGTACTCCAATTCATCTCTAAGCGCTAGCTCGGCGATCAGAGTTTCGCTCAATGCTCCAACCAAGTTCTCCATTTCCCCGAGGAGTTCTGTCAACTGACTGGAGGTGAGTTGCTTTAATTCTGAAAACACGTCGAACGTTTAATGATCTGATTTTCGTTTTTGTTTTCTACAATATGGACTCATAGACTCCGTCGAGTAGATCGAAGACTCGAATTTTAAAGCATACTTTTCTCTTGGAGTGGTGATCCGAGCACTTCTCTGCTTCTTTCCAACGCCTCGTCGCTGTCCAATAAAGAACCATCTGAATCCGGCGATCTCTCCATCGATGGACTCTCCTGCGACGATAGAAAGACGCAAGATCATAAGTCGCTTGTTAAATCGTTAACGCGCCGACAAGGATAATTTATCATGATTACCTGCATTATGTCATCTATCTCACGTAGAACCTCCTCGGCGGTCTTCAGCGGTTCCTCTGGGCTATGAGTATCGGTACTGCTGGATAAGATTAAAGCATGCATGTCCAAATCTGTTGCAACTGCCTCATCTTCGCTACTTAAATCCTCTAGCTCGGGTCTACAGCGAACAGAACAAAAGCTAAATTGAATTTAAGCACGCTAACGCTGCTCAACGTCCAAAACGGACGTGTTATGCAAAGAACATGCGATCAATTCATTAGAAGTAAAGGAAACTTGAGAGAGAGCGATCGTTACAAACATTTTTTGTGAATTATAATAATTTCATGTCGAGAGCGATCTGGAGCTATGTGTATACAATTAATATTTCTTCTTGATATTGCGGATGAACTTATTTCTGCGTAGCAATATTCTCGACCGCGCTGCAAAGTAAATCTTTGACGAAAGTAATCGAACGCGTGCGAGCGATATCGAAACCGTATATTCACCTCTCCGTCGAAGCGGGCGCTTCGTTCAAATTTAAAGCAGGCATATGCATCTTCCTCGCGTAGGATTTGCTCCAGTCGATGGGCAATATATTCCCGAAAGTCCCGGTAATGGTCCACCACATCCTGCAAGGAAATTTCATATCAGATATCAGTGATACTAGCTTTTTCTCTCGCGAAATGCAGAGATCTAGACAACATAATGTCTAAAATCGGGACATAAGACGTCTTAAAGATAATCTTTAAGACATTTATACGTAAATCGTCTTAAAGATGATCTTTAAGACGTCATATGTTCCGATTTTAGATATTACGTTGTCTGGGGACGTACTTCGCAGTAACGCGCTGATATTTAAAACATTCTAAAGCCTGTATTAATTATCGTTACTTGAAATTTTCCTCAGGTGAGATGCTTAGATTTAAATTTAGGATGAAAAGTAAACTTTTCAGTTAAATCATGATTACAAATATAGTGTCACGTATATCATACGATTCAACTAAAAAATTCAGATTCAGCTCTAAATTACAATCTGAATATCTGTGATACAAATTTTTAGTGACGACTATTCATACGAGGATCTTAGACCTTCTAGCAAGTTATTTGAAACTCGTCTCAGATGAGATACTCAGATTTGAACTTAGAATCAGATGTAAGTTTTTCAACTTAATCGTGATTACAAATATTACATCATATATTTCATATGATTCAAATAAAAGACTCGAAATCCAACTCTAAATTCAGATTTGAATATCTCATGTGGAACAAGTTAGTTCAAGTAACGACTATTAATATAAGCTCAAGACGCCTACTGAGAGTTACACGTTTTGTTTTCATCTATATTAGTCGCTTACACGGCACATCGTTTTTCTTGAGAATATGCACGCGTAAACAGACGCGTATCTTCACGTGACTCATTTCCGTCTGTCAAGGAAACCAACTCGTCTCAATTCTTATGTCATGATTTACATTCTGACAAGGTTGGACGTTTACGCAAATTATGGTACTCTGTATCTACATGTAGACAATGTAAACTATGTATGAGACGTCATGTGTAGACAATGAGTAATCTATATATGTTGTTCAAAGAACGTGTAGCTTGTTGAAAAATTAATTGAGAAAAGTTTACATTTTTATTCAATCTTTAGAATGATAAATATATAATAATATATATGATAATGGTAAATTTATAAACGTTGGCTCTCTAAGCAATAGACTCTACTCTTAGAGAGCCCATAGAATTCTCTGGTTACATTCTTATCTATACATAATTAAATCTACTAGTCACATAATGAAATAAGAATTTCATGCCAATTGTTATCTCCTTTAAACGTCACATTTATAATTAATATCCAAAATAGATTTAGTAATTGTCTTATAATTTAATTACTCTTTTTCGTATATTTTGATATAATTTGCAATATTCTACATAATTTACATTGGCTACATGAAAAATGATCGTGTTACGTTACGTTACGTAAGAAAATATGCAAAAAATTCACATAGACCTTATCTTGAAATCTACGACGTTGCTTTCTTGTATCATCCGCGTTCTTTCTCTTACGCTATTAATGAGTGATTCAACACCGTTCGTAGGATCATGACGGCCTTTCCCTGTTCCTTTTCCCGGCAAAAATGTATGTGTGACAATGTGCATACATGTAGATGTCGTAACATTTGTCGGCCCTTTAAAGGCTTATTAACCGGGGAGTGATAGAGATGTCAGATAATTTTAGCACGAAGGACATGGTTTTACGTGGTATTGCAAGAGCGTGACGCTTAATGCGCGATCAATAAGTGCAGATGTTCTCGGGGGAATGATATAATGTGGCGGTATTATTAAATTGCGACGTATAGCGCGTCCCGCGATTTCGGGCCGCCGTTTGCAAGCGCGTCGTGGAGACACACGCGCGGTATTTGGGACACATTTAGGACACATTCCGTACACAGCCGATGAGGACACAGACAAAGAGAGCGAGAGGGAGACGATCCACGGAGACTTCGTGTTTTCTGGGACGCCGCATGAATCATTGAAGCTGTGGGCGTTTCCTGTGTTACGAGCGTACATGTACGCGCTGCATAGATAAGCCGTTTAATCCTGAGCAAATAAAACGCCGGCCAACGGCGCGGTGGCGTGCTCGGGAGGAAGTGCGATTTTTCACGGGAACGCCTGGAGAGGAGCCCGAACGAGGGCATCTCTCGCGTCGCGAATTTGCGAACAATGTACCGTGGGAGTCGCGCAAAACTCTCGAATCTGCGGCGTAACGTTCTGGGCGGGCCGACGTAACAATCTCTAATTAGCCGCTTTTACGAATTTTCCCTCGCGCGACTCCGTTCTAATTCTCTACTCGCGATCGATAAATCGACGACCGATGAATTTCTCACGAGTCTTCGTCCTAAATAAGAAGCGATTTCACGTCGTGCATATCTTTGACGCGGAATCCGAACAGCGTAGTACACGGACAGAGAATTTTGTGGTAAAAAGTACTGTAGGATTTTGTGACCAAGGATCGACATTTTGCGGCAGAACTCACACTATCATTTTATTTTGTATGTGCCACTTACATTTTAGGAACTGAAATGTGCTATTAAAACGCTTGCTACGTTTCTAGCGAAATCTGCTACACGAAGAAAAATAATTTTCTGGCCCAGCAAATTTTCTGTTGGTCTAGCAAAATCTTTTCGTTATCATATGGATAGAAAAAAGATTTGCTAAGAGTACTAATCACTATTTGCTATATAATTTGCTGAATCAACAAATTATTTTGCTATAAGAACCATGATGGATTTATGTAAGCAGTTGCAGTTTTGCTCCGATAGCAAATAAATTTGCTAAGGATACATTATTTTGCATCAACAATAAATTACCGTGATTCTTAGGACAAATACACTCAACAAATTTTTTCTATCCTGGCAACGAAATTACTTCTGCTCTGATAACGAATAATTTGTAAAATTAGTTATGTCAATAACCAAATAAATTTTTTTGATGTTACTACGAATATACAGTAGCAATGACGATTTTGCTAAAAGAACAAAATTATTTTTCTCCGTGTAGATTTCTGGTGAAATTTACCATACTCCACTCAGCAAGATTGGACCTTACTGACAGTCCACTCTCCTAGACTACTAAAAATATACAGTAAAATTGAACTGAATTTATATATATAAAAAAAAAAAAAAAAGAAATAGTATTCCCTCCGTGCATCTGGACTAGATAATGTGACTGAAAACTATGCAGTCGAAGCCGATTTCCTTGACCTACCTGAATATTGCAAACGTGACTGCATTTGCGGAAATAGAAAAACATCGTGACGAGTATTAGAAAGAGCCGACGCATTGATCGACCGTTTGATGTCGTGGGTTAACAAATCGAGGTCAACTCAGTCCACTTGAGTTTCTGATTAGTGCGAAGTGCCTTCATCTCTAGCGCGCACATTGTCCGCATCGAGGGCGTTTCGCAGAACTCGACGTGTACGAAATGTACGAATTTTCGCGAGAATTCCTCTTTCTATCAGGAAACCAAATTTTCTCGTGGATGAATGGATAAATAAAAAGGGATCGCAAGAAATTTTGTTTCTTAATAAATTTGAGAAATAAAAAATCACCGACTTTTGGCCTAATGGTGGAACGTGTCGCGATATTGCTTCTGTATATTTATTTAAAATAAATATACAGCTTCTTCCGCATATAGCTTCCCTACAAATTCGCCCCTGAGGAGGGCACCGTAGGTGGTTGTCGCTGTCTGAGGCGCGTGCGCGCCGATATTGACGTTTGTCCGCTATTCGGAGGGTGGTGTAGCTCGATACGAAGGTAGGAGCAAAACAGAGATTAAATTTTCATGCCATACGGCATCAAAACACCATATAAGAGGACTAGCCGTCGCCAAATGCATCTCAGAATTTAACATGACAAATGGCTTAACTCTTCTTCGCTCTCTCTCTTTCACGCTTCTTCCGAGGTTATCCCAGGCATCCTGACTAAGAATGATTTGCAAGGTCGAATTCGATCACTTATTCGATCATTTCTCCGCATGATGTTCAGACACCCGAGAGCGAAATCGCAGATGGACGTGCTGACTTTCGGCTCGAAGAAGTGCTTCCGGGGCGACCAACGCTACCTGAATACGTTGCTTAGCCTCACGTTAGAAAGTACAGTTGCAAAATTACGTGGAAATTGCGTTTAAGCGCGTTGAATCGCGACGACGGGCCGGCATAATGCACACATGATGCTGCCGCGGAATGCAGGCGCGCTTTGCAAACGCGTGCATTCGCATCGCCACGGCGGCTTTGTCGCAATCGCGGGTCGATGGCCTTATTAGTCCGGAATAGAGGACGTTCCATTTGGATACTACCCGCCATCCCCCTCGCCCCGAGTGCGCTTTAATAATACCACGCGCACATCGCCGCCGATCGATGGCACATTTGAATCGCAGGGGCCGCGACTCGCAGGAAACGCTCTTTTCGGTGGAAAAGAAAGAACCGATCAAGTCTCAGGCAGTATACATGCTGAGTGATTTCCACCACTTTTTCGAAATGAACAGACAAACGTAGACAATATCACGCGATCTGTTATTGCGTCGATAAAACTTACACTACGTGAAAACCAAGACCAGGATGTTTATGCGTAAATTAAGGCTCCTAGCCTCTCGCGTTGTCTATCTCTTTTTAATGACGTCAGAAATGAGAAAATGCATGCTAAAAATTCTTGTTGAAATAAAAATATATATCCATAAAGTAACACTCGCAATCGATTAAACAAATTTGTAAGATATTCCGTGCATTTCTCTTTTGCTCTAATAATCAAATTACAATAATTTATTGTAAATTAACCTGAATGCAAAGAAATAGGTTAAGAAGATGAATCAGGGTTGCTACAGAAAATCAATTTTGAAATTCCTTGATTTTTTCATGTTTTCCAGACGACAATGGAGAATTTTCCATGACCAACATAGAATCTTCAATTTTAACGTTTAGGAACAGGGATTACAGAAAAAGTAACTTATATTATTAAAAGCAATACAAATTTAGTGTAGTAACATAATATTCCTAACATATATTCCTGGAAATGCACATTTAGGCTAATAAAAATGATGAGTATTGGAAAAAAGAATGTAGTTATGAGATGG